TACGGGGAAAAATGCCAAGGCAATCTTATTTGAAGATGATCCAGCCTGCTTAGGAAAGCAACTTGACAGTTGACATACATGTCAGCGATGTGGGCCCATTGCTGTCTTGAGCTTCACTAGAGGAGTTATAAGCAGACAACTCTCTGTTTGAATTGACGAATCTTAGAGAAAACCGTCCGAATTGGGGCCTTTAGGTGCATATTCAGGGGCTGGTAAAACAATGGTATATAAAGGTGTCGGGCGTCTGCGAGAAAACAGATAGATCATGATACCAAATTACGGGAGACAAGGTTAGCCATGTTTGAAATTCTAGTTAAGATTGAAGAGCAGCCAACAACTACTCCTCAACCTGTAATAATATTAGTTATGACATGGGCAGCAGTATGTTTATTGGTTCATAACAATTCCATCCTAGGTTCTAATTAGTGATTTGATAAAAAAAGGTCAACATGACAAGAACAGTAGCTGAAGCCTGAATTACGAAAAGTAAATGTCAGCAACGTCAGCACAAGATAGATCACTATCAGGAAGTAGTGATAAAAACTTAATAAACCAAAATTTAGTCTTATATTTCCACTATACCACCGGTCTAACGTTGTATTGTCTAATAGCGAATACAACCGCTGGGGTGATATCCTTGATTGGTCCAAAATAACTCTGGCTTAATGTGAGCCACAATCACATACCAAGTTCAGCACAAAATATAGAAGAAAAAACAAAAAACACACGCAAAAGTGAGATCTGTGATACTTCTAGCACCCTTTCGCAGATCCCAGCAGGTGGTTGAGAAATAACGAAGACTAATGAATAAGATTTGCGGTAGTGTCCTTGCTTTAATCGCAATTAGCAGCTCCAAAATGCAGCTAAACACTGGACATGGGGGAGAGATCTGTCTATAGTGGGGATAATCAGGGGTAGGCTGAGATAATGTAACCTAACAGGATCCGGAGTAGACATTTTTAATTAAACGATAAAGATCGAGGAAATGGAGCTGCTTTAACCAAGGATTAATAACAAACCTAATCTAGATTCATGCGATATATTTCAACATCCTGACCTTTAATTGGTACCTAAGGGTCAATATCATGGCCTAGGTTAAGTAAACCAAAGATTTTCAACTCACATACGGGCTAACCATTTAGAAACCTCTGCAATGCCTAGATTTATGGATGCATGAGGATTTGAAAGTTTATGACAGAAAAAGAAGAATGATCGTAAAACGCGATAAAAACATCAACGAAGTGTAATTAATACCTTCACTTCAAAAGTGATTTTAGGAGCTGTAATTGAGGAGCTGCATTTTCGGAGCTTCAAATATTATATTTTCCTTTTTCCCGTGAGAGGGAAAAATTGACTGGTAGTGCTTTCTTTGGTATCAGGTGTGCCAGAAAACTTTGAGAAGTGGCTCAAGGTAAGTACCTATTACACGAAATAGGGAGAGAAGACTGGAAGTGAAAGTATAAACACCAAAAAGACACCTTATTACCAGACATAGCACATTCCAAGGCAGCGTCTACAAATCAGAAATATTTTCCATTGGCGAGACTCCCGTCTAGTAGCTGGGTTACGACCAGGATTATTAGAGTAAAATAAAAGCCGAGATTATTCCGCAATTAACTTGGCTAAGGTTCCACAAGACAAATCAAACGGTACAACAGGAAGCACTGATTTTAAGCTAGAGTGAAGTTACCTGGCTCTCACCTGAATACTCCACCTCCACGAAGCGATGTGCGGGACCGGAAACAAGCGGAAGTGACACTGCCTTCCTCACCCTCACTGAAATTTGCCCAGGACGGCCACTAGGATTGAACTGCTGAAGATCAGGTTCCTGTGTTGGTGCTAGTGGGTTCCTCCTCTCCTTCTCCCTTTCTTCCGTCTTCCTGTCCTTCTTGGAGCTCATCTCCATTGCTGCATCCTCCGAGTTGGCGGACAGGAACCTAGACGCTATCGTCATGTGACGAGAACTCAGCAACACAAACCGGCAGAACTATGGTACGATTTGAAACAATCACCCTGCACCAGGTCCTTATATCAATATTTTTCCAATCAAAGCTAGCAGGGTAGTAACAGATGTCAAGACCTGACGTGCATTGGGCGGCCGATTGTTGGTTGCCAGCTCATTGGTCAGCTCCTGAGCACCTGACCCGACCACGTGCGTACTGTTATTATATTATACCTTCGTAATCGCTATTCACCAAAGCCACTACTTTATATATTTTGCTCTCATAATCAACTGATAAACAGGTCCCTTATTGGTGCGGGCTATTTCGCCTAATCTTGGCAATAGTTCCACCCTTTTCTCCGTACACAGCGCGGAGATGACTCACCATTAACAGGACCTAATGTGTGGTAGCTAGCAGTAATCACGTGACTCTGGTGGACAGGTGTGCGAGTATGTCAACTGTGAGGATGTTAAGCTACCCCGTTGCTTGTTTATCAGAGAGCTATCTGTCGATTAGAGCTAGCTGAGTAGCTGACACGCCCTTCAACAAGTACACTAATCCAATAATTATTCTGCTCCTTCATCAACACATCTGCTCCTTCATCAACACAACCATTCGTCCCCAAGATCAGTGGCCCGGTATCATTTATAATCAGTTGCCAGGCCAGACGGGGAGTGATTAATAATCAGGCCTATTTCCAATCCTGGCTGTACAATCGGTAATCTCATTCAGAGAACAATAGGGTCAGAGTAGCAGTATTGTCAGAGTCGTCCCGAGCTCATCAAACTGAGGAGGCAGTACACGGTGCGGTGTGGGAGAAAATTACTAAATCTTCTCCGTGACATGGTGAAAAGTGTGCCGTTGGACGAAGGAGTTACTGTAACAGCTGTAACATTAAAGGGCTGGGTTTTGGTTACAGCGCTGTTAGGTGAAATTAACGGAGGGATCGCTTTGACAGTGGTTCAGCAAGAATTTGGAAACGATATTTTATTCTAATAGTAATCCATTAATTAAATAAACTGTGGATTAATCCTCAGCTTCATTCAAAATGAGGTTATGGAACATGAATTGGAAGATTAAAAAAGTTACTAGGTAAAAATGCAAAGGACTGATGACTATTGACATCTCTAATGACCAAGTGACCGGTCTCATAGATAACAAGGGTATCTATAGATATAAATATATAATGAGGATGGGTTTTAAACCGTTTTTTGCCTTTACTTTAGGTAGAACGTGAAGGAAATGTCAAAATATCGCCGGATGATGAATATCCATGTAAGCAAGACATGATAATAAGCGAATAAAGTTACTAATGATCATGACAAAGCCCTTATATATTGCTTTCTATCATCAGCTAGGGAAGTGGAAAATACGTTATTCGACATGACGTGCTCATGTTCACAAATCAATCAGGATTGGCAAACAAACATCAGGATATCACGAGAAAAAACAAGAATAGTTCATGATCTCGCTATGTCTACCACTTAAAAGCGATTAACGTTGTAGCTCTACAAGGTCTGTCCAAGAAAGTGTTACACCAGAAAATTGGTAAGAGCAAACACTTACAACTACAAGTGTTATAGGCAGTATGACATCAAGAAAGCAATACAATCATAGCAACGTGTTTACAGACGTTAAGTATTTGAAGTAAACTTTTCCATCAAAACAAGGCAGGGGTATTTTACATCAGAACAACTTGATCCATAAAGTACTTCTACTGTTAACACTTAAACGTACTTTTAATGTTTTAGTCACACACTAAAGCTCTGAGATTAAACTAGGGAAAAGAAAGCAATACAATCATAGCAACGTGTTTACAGACGTTAAGTATTTGAAGTAAACTTTTCCATCAAAACAAGGCAGGGGTATTTTACATCAGAACAACTTGATCCATAAAGTACCTCTACTGTTAACACTTAAACGTACTTTTAATGTTTTAGTCACACACTAAAGCTCTGAGATTAAACTAGGGAAAAGATGAAAGAAACATGTTTAAAATGAGCATGAAAGTAACATGTAAAAAGGCTGGATTTTGAGAGGAACCTTTCGAAATTGTTGGAACTCAGTTTCTAATTTCCTACCTTCCTAATAATAACGAAAGGTTGTCGCTATTTGACCTTTTATAACAGTCAAGAAATAGCGACAGACCACTGATGGGTTTGGTAGTTTCAGTTTACAATTATATTGAAAACAAGCCTGGCTCTCAGTGGTAAAAGTGATAAACATACTCGCATAATGTTGCGCAAAACTTAATAGTAAACTGTTCTGAAGAACAACCAACTGACCTGATGGTTCATTGGAAAGCTATAAAGGGAGCAGTTTTTCATATTAATCTCCCATCCGAGATTAATAACAACACGAGGAGGCCGAGGGTAAGGCGAGTTATATAATATGAATTGGAATAATCATAGAATAACTGACGGATAAGGGCCAATGAAGGTCGGAGCCGTCAGTACCACGGGACCTAATTGGGCAAAGTGTCCGCTAATGTAACTAATACATCCTGGAGGAGCGAGCTGTTACACCAGCAAACAAGGAGCGTGCTGTTACACCAGCAAAAAAAACTGCAAAAAGTAACAGAAACAATAGCCCTGATACTTGTCCGAGATTCTGGAAACTGCAAGGTAACAGAAATAAAAGATACTTCTCCGAGATTCCGGAGCCTTGGTATCACCCTTGCAGTTAACATATTGAATTAGTCACATTTCTGCTCATATAATAGTATAATGCAACGGATGAGACACACAAGAATCGAAGATAGGTTATTTTAATATAAAATAATGACGTGATATCTAAAGAACAATATCTCAAAAGTTGTAAAATTGAAAGTTGTCAAATTGAAAGTTTTGTCAAATTAAAAGTTGTCAAATGAAGCTCTAATATTATAAAATCCTACTCAATGCCTGTTGCAATTTTAAATACCTGAAATCCAGCTGAAGGGAGTGATAATCAGTGATCACCAACTTCATCTGACAACACTTTGAGTATAATCGAGAGAATTTGTTACTCTCTCACGAGTAAATGAGATACGGCTAATTAAACTAATTTGTCACTGACCGTCGAGCTCGAGATCCACAAATGGGTCGCTCTCTCCGAGAAGATCTCTGTTAGGAAGTTTTGCAGCAGTCTTAACTTGTATGATCAGACATCCCTCCTGACCCTTAAAGTCGACAGGAGCTCCAGCAGCTCCGCTTTTCTTACCCATCAATCCTGAACAGCTCTCATCTGCACCACTTCCTACACACAATAAAGTTAAGTTAGAAGATGTTAAGGTGAGTTATTACTTAAAGTTGATAGTTGAATAAAAAGGTGAGTTGAATAAAAAGGTGAGTCAATAGTTGCGAGTTGGCAAAAGTTTGTCGGGACACACGACAGTGAAATTTGATCGGCCGAAGCTAGAAGCTGTTTCCTGATCAGTAAATCGCTATCACGAGTCCAAACAAATCTTCTCGACCTCTTCACCATTACCCGTGTTAAAACTTTAAAAAGCTATCAGATGGTTAAAAAGGAGGAAACTAGCGATCGCAAACAAGATTGTTTTTAACTTTAGGACGAGCCTCCAACACTGGAATAGTTAGTTATCGATTCAACGAACAAGCGACCTAAATATGGACTAGCTTAGTATAGGCTTCCAAACTTTCTCTCTAGAATAAACAACGTTCTGGATTAAAGTACAGAATATTTTATACTCGAAAGTGATTCAAATACCAAGAAGTTGCCATGAAACAAGACGCACGTGAAGCACGTGTGGTTACAGATGAAGTTGCACAGAACCTCACAAACTGGCAGCCAGACAGTAACCCTTAGTGGTAGCAGTCACATTAAGTTATTTAGTGCCATTACACTGGACAATCCTCTGCCAGATAAACGTCCCGCTATTCTTATTACACAATTAGTGATATCTCATGTCAGTATTAGATATTATGATATCTTAATCTTGGTAGAGATAACAGGTAAACTTTAGTTATACAGCTCTGTCGATTCAATGGAACTTAACTTAAGGAAAATTAGCTGACAAGAATGTTCCATTGTGCAGTGTGCACAGAATAAGATCTCACTAAATCCCATATTGGATTTAAAATTTTTTTTCTTCTTTAGTTTTTAATGTAGCTTGTTGTTCAGCACATCACAATGTAACAATTCAGCTGGTTTCATATTAAAAAGTGCTGTGAAAAATATGCACAACATATCGTGCATAAGTTTAAGGACCAGGATTTCTTGTTGTGGAGAAAAGCGAGCTAGTTTCAACTAGGTCACAATCCTTATGCGCTGAATTTTGCAGACTCTCTGCTATTCTTCTTATCCTTACTTTTAATTGGGAAAAGCACCTGCTCCTAGCTGCAGGCCACGCCTTTGTTAGAGTTGCAAGAGAGTCATGAAAATACATAATGATAATGATTACATATATGATATAATAACCAGTTTAGCGAGTGAAAATCTATAAGCGCTTACGTATTTGATATTTAACTTGGCGCACATTCTTTTTTGCCGGGGTACTAACAGTTTTACGGTTTTACGAAAAGGATTGTTATATTACAAGTAACGCCAACGAGGACCATCTAACATAAAATATGTACGCGCCGTACAATGGACCAAGACTATAAATACAATATAAAATCCATGAAATTAAGTGGACGTTGATCTTATAGTTTAAGGAAAGCAGAAACTTCCCTCATGTTATTATTATTATCATATAGGAGCTACACTACATTATAAGAGAAGAGTAATAACCAAGGGAAATATGAAATATCAGATAATTCTACCTAAGCCTCTCGGCACTGTATTGTCAAGTGGCACTTATAATTTATAACTGCTATCTTTTAAAGAAGTGCTTCCATATGTGGTAACTGGTAGCATAACATTAAATACACTAATATTATGTATTAAATCGCTCGCTCAAAGGTGAACGCGTTACATTTAACAATAACCTTATGACCAATTATATTTAGAACAGTCGCTCGTAGCGTTGAACTCAGGGGCCCTCTAAACTGAACGGGGCACTAAGTCTATTCATTACGTTTACTGAGGTTTGTTCAAACTAGGCTTGCATATTCAAGTTTTTATCACAATGGGCACAAAGTGGAGTCCCTTGTTTATATGATACACTTTAGGGATGCAGACTCAAAGCAAGTGATGGTCATTGGGGGGGGTGTCACGTCCGTCTATGTCCGCCTATGTCCTGTCCTTTTTGGATTCTATGAGACAACGGACGTGTTTTTTGGGACATTGGCGGACACGGACGGACATTGGCGGACTCAGACGGACATTGGCGGACACGGACGGACATTGGCGGACTCGGACGGACATTGGCGGACTCGGACGGACATTAGCGGACCCGGACGGACATTGGCGGACTCGGACGGACATTGGTGGACATTAGCGGACATTGGTGGACATTAGCGGACAAACGTTTTGAGAATTTTTCGCAACTTCTATGTATTATAATTTTGTACAAAACAAACGACTTATTAATCACACTAAAGCTATTAATAGTTTTAACTTATTATATCAAATTATATAGGGACCCAGGAAAAGGCCCCAGGAGGAGGAGGAGGAGGAGGACTGGGGAGGAGGAGGACTGTTGAGGACTGATGAGGAGGACTGAGGACGAGGAGGAGGAGTAGGAGGAGGACTGAGGAGGGGAGGAGGAAGAGGACTGGGGGGATCAGGAAGACCCAGGAGGAGGACCCAGGAGGAGGAGGAGGACTGAGGAGGATGACTCAGGAGGAGGAGAACTCAGGAGGACTGAGAAGGAGGAAGACTGAAGAGTACTGAAGAGTACTGAGGTCTGAGGAGGATGGCTGAGGAGGATGGCTGAGGAGGATGGCTGAGGAGGATGGCTGAGGAGGATGACTGAGGAGGATGACTGAGGAGGATGACTGAGAGGGATGACTGAGAGGGAGGAGGAGGATTAGGAAGACCCAGGAGGAGGATCAGGAGGAGGAGGAGGACCTAGAAGGAGGACCTAGGAGGAGGAGGAGGAGAACTGAGGAGGATGACTCCGGAGGAGGAGGAATCAGGAGGAGGACTGAGGAGGACTGAGAAGGAGGAGGACTGAGGAGGATGGCTGAGGAGGATGGCTGAGGAGGATGACTGAGAGGGAGGAGGAGGAGGAAGAAGAGGAGAAGGACTGAGGAGGAGAAGGAGGACCCAGGAGGAAGAGGACCCAGGAGGACCCAGGAGAAGGAGGACCCAGGAGGAGGACCCAGGAAAAGGCCCCAGGAGGAGGAGGAGGACTGGGGAGGAGGAGGACTGTTGAGGACTGATGAGGAGAACTGAGGACGAGGAGGAGGAGTAGGAGGAGGACTGAGGAGGGGAGGAGGAAGAGGACTGGGGAGGATCAGGAAGACCCAGGAGGAGGAGGAGGAGGACCCCGGAGGAGGAGGAGGAGGAGGACCCAGGAGGAGGAGGAGGACTGAGGAGGACTGAGGAGGAGGACTGACGATGACTGAGAAGGAGGAGGACTGAGGAGTACTGAGGAGGATGGCTGAGGAGGATGGCTGAGGAGGATGGCCGAGGAGGATGACTGAGGAGGATGACTGAGAGGGAGGAGGAGGAGGACTCAGGAGGAGGACTCAGGAGGAAGAGGAGGAGGAAGACTCAGGAGGAGGACTTAGGAGAAATGAGAAGGAGGACTGAGGAGAACTGAGGAGGAGGAGGAGGAGGAGGAGGACTGAATAGGAGGAGGAGAAGGAGGGGGACTGGGAGAGGACTGAGGAGGAGGAGGACTGATGAGAAGGATGAGGAGGAGGACTGAGGAGGAGGACTGAGGACCGAGGAGGAAGAGGAGGAGGATGAAGAGGAGGAGGAGGACCCAGGAGGAGGAGGACTGAGGAGGAGGACTGAGGAGGATGACTGAGGAGGACTGAGGAGGATGACTAAGAGGGAAGAGGAGGAGGAGGAGGACTCAGGAGGAGGAGGAGGAGGACTGAGGAAGACTGAGAAGGAGGAGGACTGAGGAGGAGGAGGAGGACTGAATATGAGGAGGAGGAGGGGGACTGGGGGAGGACTGAGGAGGACGGAGGACTGAGGAGGAGGACTGAGGAGGACTGAGGACTGAGGAGGAAGAGGAGGAGGATGAAGAGGAGGAGGAGGACCCAGGAGGAGGACCCAGGAGGAGGACTCAGGAGGAGGAGGAGGACTGGGGAGGAGGAGGACTGTTGAGGACTGATGAGGAGGACTGAGGACGAGGAGGAGGAGTAGGAGGAGGACTGAGGAGGGGAGGAGGAAGAGGACTGAGGAAGATCAGGAAGACCCAGGAGGAGGAGGAGGAAGAGTAGGAGGAGGAAGCATCTAAATGTTATTTCCATTTTTGTCCGTTTTGTCCGCTCTATTTTTTGTCCGTTTTGAAAATATAGGGTACCGGACAAAAAACATGATCCCCCATATAACAGCAAAAATTGAACAGTTTATTTAGCAATTTAGGTGTCCATTAATGTCCGCTAATGTCCGTATATGTCCGTCTATGTCCGCCTATGTCCGTCTATGTCCGCCTATGTCCGCCTATGTCCGCCTATGTCCGCCTATGTCCGCCTATGTCCGCCTATTTCCGCCTATGTCCGCCTATGTCCGCCTATGTCCTGTCCTTTTTGGATTCTATGAGACAAGCGGACATAGACGGACGTGACACCCCCCCCCGTCATTGTTTAAAGTACCTGTTTAGTTTTACCACTGCAAGTGTACATTCATTGTCTTCTTTTAGTGTCAAATAATAAAACAACTTTAATTTACCTTCAAAAATGAATACCGCGAACTTTGATTTCGGGGGAACAAAAAACTAAAAGTTACATTAACGCGAAGTTTTGTCCCTGAAGTGTGCTAACTCCTTACCAGTACCACCAACATTTCAATATAGAACGAGCAAAAACTAACTAACTAATCTAAAATAAATGATCCCTTAATAACAGACATGACGCCATCCTGACCTGCCCTCTAAATGCCCACATTTCTCGCCAAAAGTGTACACGTGCACATAATTGCTCAGCGCGTGCATTATGTTACGACACCTAATATGCACGTGCACTGTCTGACATCACCCTTTAAAGTTTAAGACACATGCTTCATCGACATCGAACAGCACCAACAACCTTATACTACTTAAATAGCACTGTCGAAACTCTAACTTTTACAATCCTCTAGGTTTCAATAAATGTCATAAAAGTGGTAAAGATGATAATATAAAAATGGCAACTAACCAAGCAAATCATAAATCATTAACAAACGTCAGTCTATA